TAATTATGCACATTTTAGTTTTGCAAGTAGCAGACAGTTTTACAGATGTGTACTCTTCACGTAATTTTGAGAAGTATGTTTATATTAATTTTGTAACTCCAATTTAGTTTAAATGTGCTTTCAAATGATATTTAATTAAATTGAATTAAATTTGATAACGAAAAGCATGTGTAAAGTTATACTATTGTATATTCTAGTTGGTAGTATGTTCTCACTTTTATTCCATAACTATTTTTTTCTTTCTTCAGTGTTTTTAAAATTACGTTCGTTCTATATATTCAAAAAATTTCTATACCATAATTGGTATCATTTTATGGCTAATTTTATATAAAAAGTAGTTACGTCGCATAAATATACTGAGTTATTTCAATAAAACAAAATAGTATTCCATACTCCTCATTTTTCCCTTACAAATATAATAAGTAAAATAACTTTTAATCGAAGCAAAGATAAAAAATTATAAAATGACATCTTCGGCAGTTCTAACAGAATACCGTTGACAATTTTAAAGTGTTAAACTTTTAATTATAACTGTATATAAAGAGATAAAAAAAGACTCGAAAAGACCAAAAACGCTTGCTCTCTCTCTCTTTCTCTCTCTCTCTCTCTCTTTCTCTCTTTCTCTATCTAACAGAAAGATATACTTAAACTTTAATAATATTTTATTTGATAAAGTACAGAGAGAATATTTTAAAAATATGTCTTCATAAAAAAAAAATAATCTCTCTGTATGTGTGTGCACGGTGTATTTTAAAATATACATCATTAATATATAAAAATCCGATTTTATATCCGTATTAATTTTTTAAATATGTGAACGCAACAGTTTTTTACATTGCAAAACATAAAAATATATAGTATTTTTTTTTTAATAATAAAAAATATGTTGGTTTTGACACATCCAAAAAATATAAAGTATACATGTATTATTGACATTAAAGTATTGTGTATATGTTTTTTTACATCGTAATTTTGCATTCTAATTATAGCACTCTTATTAGCATTCCCATTTGGTTACCTTAGCATTTGTTTGCAAATATAGGTATATATATTTATATAAAAAAATAATTTTGTGTGTGATATTACAACATTTATAAAACAAAAATAGTTTCAACAACTAGATTTCAGTCTGTAGGGGAAAAAAAATAGATAATTTCCGACGCATTCTTATACATTCTTATATAACAATATTAAATATTTTATTATACTGAGAGTTGCTGACAGACGATTGCAAATAATTCGATCGTCTTTAGCGTTAAACAGTCAATTAATAATAAAAAGAGTCGACTGATAAATCCGTCTACCATTGGGAGAATGACAGTCTACCACTTGTCTGTCTGTCGGCGCGATTAATAAATTGTCAGGATTAAAAGGGTTCACGATCAGTAATAAATGCACTGTGCCCGGAGATTGGATTTGACGTAAATCGGTAAAACTGGAGTGAAATTTTCACACACTCTCGATAATCTCGAGCGTGTTCGTTTGCACTTCTATTTTATCCCCTTGTCGTCGCCTGATTAATGTGGATTACAGCAGACTAGAAAGAATAAGGATACTCTGTATTTGATCGCGCGAATTACATCGGGGGGAATATAAATTTATGGACTAACACACTGTAGCGTGTTGCCTCGAGTAACAGGTTATAAATATCGAATCGGGTACAAACGCCATTTCATTTATCCATGAAATTTTCCGATATAGATAAATTATGCAGCATCGGAAATACGCCAATAATAGCAACGGATTAATTTAGATCATTTACGGGCCTTTATGGTTTCGCTTCTACATTGCTTATTGCTCTTTTCAATCTGATGAATAACTTATTTGCGAAATAAATATTCTAGTGCTCGTTTACTGTCAAACAGAAATATCTAATTTTTGCGTCGAAATGATTTAAAACAGATGTACGTAATTATTTCGCCAATCAAATCATCTATTGTCGATTATAATCAATGTTTTGCGTTTTCTATTACTGACTCGTTACTAACATTAAGGTAAAGTGTGTTGTGCGAATATGCAGTCTTCTATTTTAATTAATTTAATATATTTTAATGTAGTCTCTGAAAAGTAAACTAACAATAAATATTTATACACATTTTTAATAACATTTCTCGTTTACCACCCAGACAATATGCAAAAAAAAACATGGGACATTAAAGACACTTATAAAACGTCTTAAAAATATTTTTTAAAAGACATCTTTAAAACGTCTATCTCTTTCGATTTTGAATTTTTTGTTGTTTTATATAGGTGTTGTATACAATATAAGATGAAAAAAAAGAGAATTATATAACTATAATAATAATAATCACAATAAATTATTCTGTTTTACTTTATATAAAATACTGATTTTTTAATAGTGGTTTATTGAATATAGTACTTAATAGCGATTTTTTTTATTAAGAATAAAGTAAAAGACAACGTGTGTCTGAAGAAAAATAATGTGATAAATGAAGATAACATTTCTTTTGATAATTGATCTTTTCCCGCGCAAAGGTATAATATGGCTATATCCACGTTTATCGGCTAATTGAAGTTTTCAAAGGTAATCATTTACCAGATTAAATTAAAAATGAAGTAATTACTGGAGATCAAAGAAATTTATTTTCTATCGCTCAAACACCGCAATGGATTCTATACATTGGCTATTATTGGCGTCTACATCACTGCATATATACGGTTCGTTCTTTTTTTTAAATCACATTCATCAGATAAACTAACAATCGATAGAGAAAATTCATAGAGAAAATATAATCGAGAAATTATTATCGTTTTTTAATTTGTAATATATTTTTAAAGTTAAATTTGTTGAAAAAAGAAAATGAAATTTTTCAGCAATTTAAAAATTACTAAAATTTATCGGAATGAAGGTGCACGGATTTTGGCGAAATTTTTCGGGAAAGTGCTTCTAAAATGTGTTTCTCGATACCGGGAATCAATTTTCGTTGTCGTTATATATCTTTTTCGGGACACCTCATGGACGCGGCGATGAAGGCTCGAAGTAGATGATGCTTCCTTCCTCCGTCTGTATCTGTCGATTGCCAATATCTCGGCAAGATGGCAAGAGACGGCGGGGTCGAACAAGTAGGATTCTTGGTTCCGATAAGAGTTAGTGCTCACTTGTTGACCCGCTTCGACGATCGTAACTTATCGAGATACAAGACCGACGATTGAGAGAAACGACGTGTGGCCAGACGTTGAGAGTCTTGGATTTATCGAGAGGTCTTTCTTAATAACATCTCACGCACGAAGATTTTTATGGCGTGTGCGATAGATCACATGACACATCAATGCGGTTTAGTGATTTTCAGATAGACATTTAATTGATTTTTAGCGGCGAAAACTTGCGGTCGATTAAGTCAGCGGTTCGTATCTCACCGATGATTTATATCATATTGTTACGACACTCGATTCGTCGTCAAGAGTTATTACACTCAGAGGAAAACATAGTGATGACAACTATATAAGTTTTATATGTAGAATGTACTAAAGAAGCGCTCCAAATGACATAGTCAATATACAGCAGCATTAATAATATTGCACATACATGTTCACAAAAGATTAATAACGCCAACTTAAATTGATCACGTCTTCTAAAGCCATCTTTTTTAATTATAACAAACTATTTTATAATTGCAACAACTGTAAAATAATTGAACTATGTACATAGAAAGAACCATTTTGCAGAATTAAATATTTAAAAATTTAACTAGATACATTTCTGAAAATAATTCTATTGGACCATCAAAGTAATTATGTAGTAATTTCAAGAATGATGAGCAATGTTGCAAGAAGTTCGACAGTCTAGCAATCAGTTTGAGCGACCTACATGATTATTTTGAAGTTCCAACAAAATTTTCAGTTTCTTAGATCTGTATCTTTAGCTAAATTTTTAGATACTTCAATAAAATCATCCTTTCCATGTATATTAATTCTGCATAAATATAAAACTTATATACTTGTCATCTTTATACATAATTGTTATTTGTCTTTTTCTTTGAACATATGGCAAAGAATTCACGATCGAACTGGATAACTTTCTACAGTAGTTCATACAATGCCCTTAATCGCTGCTCAACATTACGCCAAGTATCGCACGGCAAGTAAATTTTCTGTTTTGCAGTTTGCTTGCAAATCATCGTTAGGCATTTCGACTCATCGTTTGGCATGATCCGATTGGATTGCGCGCGCTCGCGTAGTCGAGTAGAATTATAGACGCAGTGCGCCGGCCAATGCCGATCCGTTACAACGAATAGCTACAGATAGAACCGATAATGAATTGGAATTGTTCGGAAACTGTATAGGCGCTTTAGCAACAACGCTGTTTACTACAGTTGCGCACATAGTTATTCCATTCGAATAATATATTTCGATAATTGGAGGCTTTTACGTATGGGTCCAATTGGAATTGCCCGTTTCTATTGCCAATGACAAGTCTCTTCGGTAAAGTTAGCCTGTCATATTCGGAAATCGCCGCGGCGAGCGTCTTTGTTAAGTTGGATTGCTTCCTTTGATATCTAATTGCTCGCAATTCAATATCATTCTTAGTACAGATCCTAAATTCGTTGCACCTAAATAATTTTGGCCTGTTGAAAACTTTGCAGCGAGTTGACATTAATCTTTTTATCATGATATAAAAGAATCAAGGCTTATTTAAACGAAACGATTTTTTCTTAGCAAGGTCAATATTTTGAATCTGATTTGTCAGCGAAAATGTTTATTTATTCCGACATTTTAGTATCCTCTATAGTGGTAAATAAAAGATTTTACAATCATGTGATTAATAAAGAAAATTGAATTTCTGTTGCTTTGGTTTTTGATAAAATAATGTGTTTTCGATCCATGAATGTGTGACGTAACATGAATTAACATAGAAATTGCGAGAAGATACTAAAATGCAGGAACAGATGGTGCGCTTCTGCCAAAAAAGCGGGACGGAAATAACAGCTAACGGAGAGAAACGGCGGAGAGCAACCTAATGAATGCCATGTTGAATTTACCTGTGCACCGACGAGGCCAGCGCGTAATCTAGGGATGTCCGTGTGACTCCAGTCTGATCTGGCCCATGGGTCAACCCTACCGAGATCACTGCTCAGGTTGACTTCGCCAAGTTGATTGTGTACGAACTTTCTGACGTTCCAGGGCAAATCGTTGTGCCTGCAAATTGGAAATATGAGTTTTAACAGAATATTACGTGCAACATGTATAATATTTTTATTAAGAAACATTTCTGGTTGAAAATGCAAGAATCAGGAGATTCTGATCATATCAGAATTCTGATTATCTAACCAGATTTATAATAGATTCAACTAGAAAATTTTAATTTGCTCATTTTCAGTTAGAATTTTAATTAATGCAATCAAACTCTTTTTCTAGTGTTGCGATACTCAGCAGTAGGATTTATTAACTTGAAAATTTATGATATGCTGTCTGTATGTTATATATGCATATTTATATAATAATCTAAAATTTTACAACTCCTATACTGATCGAGTAAAATAATACGAAATTGTTTTATTTAAAATTCTTTTATATCTAAAATTTTACTAAAATTTTATTAAAATATTATAGATGTTATCTCTTCTGCAAATTATAATATTTTATTGTGACAAATATTGCCGAAGTCTCGGTCGAATTAGGAAAACGCTTGCACGGAATACGAGAGATCTGGGTGGTTTGAATTCTGGCTGAGGTAATATTTTTTGTAATAAATTATTTACAATTTTTAAAATGTTATAATAGCATAAAATTATTAATATTCTTCTAAGATACTTACGAGTATCAAAAATTATTAAATTGCTTGTCAATTATATTGAGATACAATTAAATACTCTAGTTCTATTCATGACTGTGTTTTAAAACTGAAAAAGATTTCGGTATGTTTTTTACAGTATTGGATATGTAAAGTTCATTCTGAAATATTTAAGCATTAAGATTCGCTTTGAAATCGAATATTATTTCTCATAATTAATTAATTTATTTAGACGTCTGTCTAATATGAATCATAATTGTATAATATTTTATTTTGTCTATCTAACGAAGTTGTGAAATAGATAATCGGAATCTATATCCATTATAGGATGAACAAATAATGTTTATCAGCTTAAAAATGGTATGTAATTTTTTCTTTAATATTTATGACTGACGAAGATTATAATTGAAACTTATTTCGCTTTTTTAATATTTTTAGTATATAATTTATATAGATACTTAATAAGATACTTATTTCTATTTTTAACATCTGCATCATCTGTTCGCGTTTTTAGTTTTTGAATTAAATTTTTTTGTTATTATAATAACGAGCTGAATTTTATAATGATACAATCTTATATAATCTTTGTAATGTCTTGTAGCGATGAGATATGTTTTCTATTTAAATATCACAATCATGAAATTATATACTTGAATAATATGTTCGAAATATATATATTGGTCTGCATATTGCAATGTTACTTGAGATTAATAAGCAAGATAGAATCGAAATAGGATTTATTCGATTTCGAGTATCTGGGGATTATATCCATATGATTATGTAATGTAATATATGATAGGTTGTAATAATTACTTGCTGTAATAATTATATTAGTGAGATCATATACTCTGAAAACAAGACCATATAATAGGCAATTCAATTTGTATTATTTTTCAAATGCCTTTGTATATTAAAAATATTGTATATACATATTTTTATTTTGGCCAACGGTACGTTTTATCGTCAATTCGGTAATAAAAACGCTTACCCGTCGATCAGAGGCACTTCAGTGAGAATCCTCCTGATCACGTCCAGCCTCTGCTGGTGCGTGGCAGGCGCGGATTGTAGTAGAAACGGTAGACAGAGGCCTCCGAGGAGCAGGACGACCATTAAGAGCAGGACAGGCGCCAACACCCGACATCTCCTGCGAGGACTCTCGTCTCTGCGATCCTTGCTGCTGCCGCTGCTAGGCGAGTCCTCGCACGGTGGCGGTAATCGCACGGTGCCGTTGCAAGGCGCCACGTCTGGCAGTTCTGTTAGGCACGTGGTCTGAAAGAAAAGAAATCCAAAATTGTATGACATTCTGCTTACTTTTCTATTATTGATCTCGTTGAATTATTAATTTCGTTGCAGAGGAAATTGTTATAAGGAATAGAGATTATAAGCTGACGTTATTTATCATTATTTTGATATCAGCTCGTTTGCTGAATATTAGGTTCTTTAACAAGCGTAAAAGAAATATTAGATATATTTGTTTAGTTTATATTAGAGAGCGGTTTTGTAATATTTTTCAAAAAATTTTCTGAAATTATTAGTACAGATTTCTTAAATAATACGTTTTTGAGTCTGAAATTTCAAAATTTATTTTTATCAATTTTTCAGTAAATTATTTTAGACTATTAAACTATTAGGATATCTGATAATACGCACATCTATTTTGTAGGTAGTTTTTTCGTCAGTTTGGTTGATGTTCAAACAGTGACTAAGTTTGCGAAACAGATCTCATTCATGCAGATAGAATATTTGAGTCAGTTCAGTATATCGAGATATTTGCCTAGTAAATTAATTAATCTGGTTAATAGCCGTGGCGGAGATTACACGCTGATATTCAGATGTAAACGCATACGTTTGGAAATATATAATTACTTGTCTGTAATTTCGTGCATTATAAGCGACATTGCAGAAGGTTAATATTTTTCTAGTTAACTGAAGTCACAATATATTTTAATAATTAAAATAAACCGACCGAGTATTGGCAAAAGATTTTAATTAAACATATTCAAACGTATTAATATGATGAAATATTTTATCTTTTAAAATTGTAATTTAAGATACGTTTTTATATATTGCATTAAGAATTAATAACATATTTTGACATTCTCGTAATGCATTGAAAACAAATTGCGCTTCTTTTGATTAATATACGATCAAATATATTGGATGAAAATTTTTTGCTACATATTGATCTTACTGCAGTTCCACGGTGCAACGTTATGTTTGTATACAAAAAGAAAAGTATTGGATATTTGTGATTATTTTATCACACAATTATAATCACACAATATAGTTAGAAGCTCCATTTTTATTACTGCTATACTACAATGTTAGTGTACAATGTTAATAATAATTATTTGTAGTTCTATACAAGATATATAATTGGTCCCAAAAATGATTATAAATTATAGCTAAATTGTTATTATAATTGCAACAATTTTTTGTTCTCGGTGTAAACGATATTCGCAAAATTGTTCCAAATTTTTCAGATACTGTAATGAGTTTCGTAGCTATATAGCAGAGGGATATAAATTCTGTCATTTCACACACGTGCGAGACTTTCCGACGCGAGCGAAACGTATCCGGGCGAAGTTAGACAATCGCGCGTGTTAACGACTATTTAAGTGTCTCTCAGAAAGTGCATTACGTTATAGTGGCGCATGCAGTGGAAACGGTCGGCACGGCGGCTGTAACCTGTCCGCGGAAAAATACAACTACCCGTGGACGGAAGTATAGCCTCGAAGGAGGGTGTTGGATGAAAGGAGGACTCTCCTCCGCGGCGTCACTGCGACGCTCTGCAGGCAACGCGCGGTAAACTTTTGTTCGCCCTCCTTTCGGCCACCATAAAACACGTTAACGCCTGGCTACGGATTTTCCGCGCGTATATGTATAGCACATAGTGTAGTCGTGTAGACTGTAGAACACAGTCTACACAGTCGCGAAAGGTATTGGGATACTTGGCGAGCCTCTGGGAATTTTCCCAGTTTCTACAGTTACACAGTCGTAAACAACTCACCAAGTCATAACTTTCATGTATACACCCCTTCGCAATAACTCGTGATACCCATCAAATTTCACACGGTTATACAAATCAAATAAAATCGCGGATCCTCGTTGAGACAATTGATTGATACCATCAATGATAAGAGAACTTTCCATAACTTTCCATAACTTTTCCAGTTGTTTGCGTAAACCTTAATTTGTATACGTCAACATTTTCATATATAATACATTAATAAAAATAAGCAAAGGAGTCATATTCATTCAAAGCGAGTCTTTATGTCTAATAATATTTTTGTGTGAATTTGGACGAATTCCAGTTCAAACAAACTACGCGCCGATTATTTGTTGTTGGTGTTGAAATACAATCCTGAACTGAAGCTGGAGTACGTAATATCACTAATTAAATTCACAAACAATTTAATGTTATTGATGCTAATGAGCATTCTTTAAACAGAGAATTTAATATATTAAATTTTAAGCATTTTAATTATTCTTGATTAAGATAGTTAAGGAAACCGTAATAAATTGCGAGCTTTCAACGAGATATTCAACACAATTAAAAACAGAATCAAATAATAATAATCGAAAAGAATAATTGAAAACCGGAATTGAAGATAATCTCGTTAATCGCAGATAAAAAAGGTAAAAAATAATTGGAAAGATACAAAGAATTTTTAAAAGGTATAGCGAGTATTTACGCCGCTTCCGATTCTTTCGGCGAAACTTAATATCTCATGCATGTCCTTTTCTATACATAGCTGTTCTATTTAGCGTATTTATGGGATACAATAATGCGAAGAATACAAAGTTTCGCGAGATGCTTGCACGCGATGGAAGAAGCTCAAACGAGGGCGATGAACGCCGGATGAAGCTGACAGAATCAACGAGCTAAATCGTAAAAGTTATCGTCGGTATTATCGCGCGAAAAAAATGCTATGCGTTATCGAAGCGCGAAACAGCGAACGCTATTCTCATTTTTAGCCGTTTCTCCGTTTTCTTATTCACGACTCTGCTCGGTGAGAATCGATTATCGATACTATAAGTAATTAATAGCTGCCTGGAGGTAATGAAAATGAAAGCTATGGACACACGTTTCCGTGCATATAACTGAGAGAGAGAGAGAGAGAGATAGAGAAAGAGAGAAAAAAGATTCTCCTGATAATACTCGTAATTCATTGTTTAAAATTAAGTCTAGTAATTACAATTTGTTTTCTTCTTTCATTTTCTAAATACAAAAATAAACGAATTTCACTTTATTTATTAAATATCAATGTAAAGGATAAAATTGAAAGTAATCTTTAAAATCGAACACATTTTTTTCCAACAGTTTAATGGCGAAATAAAGAGAACAATTCCGAGTTTTCGATTTTTTTTCATGCGAGCAATCGCCGACAAATTAATTCATATTTTGCCACGCAGGTTACGTAAAGACGATTATTATCACTCGTGATAATAATAATAGGTGACCACCTTTTAGCGCTGCTCCTCCAGAATTTAACGAAAAAGCGAATTCAACGTACTTTTATAACCATACTAAAAGTTTTTACCGCGAGCGTAAACGTATTAATTAAGTGTTAATTTAGCGCGTTTAAAAATGGAACGACACATAAGGCGGTTATGCAGATACAAAACACAGAAGATGTAACGTTCTGACTCATTTTCATTTTTCTTAAAATGAAATTTCTTTTATTAGCGTAACAGACCATGTCTCTCCAAATATCATTTTCTTTATATCATAAACTTTGAAAATATTTAAAGATTTTATTTTATTTTTTGAAAATAGTATAAAATGTTATTTAACGTTAGAACTTTTTGACGAATATAAGAAAGAAAGAAAAAGTTTATGTTATACATTTTTTTAATTAAAAAATTTTTTTTGTTCTACAAAGAATATGAGAAATAATAAGAAATTAAAATAAAAATTGTTATTTATTGTGTTGATTATTGTCAGAAAATTTACATATAATTTGCACATGAGATATTATTTTCCGTGTTAAAGTGTAAGTTTGGGATATTTTTTTCGGTATTTGTTGGAATTTTGATTTTTTTCGACAATATTTTTTTAGGTACATTGATGTGCGAGAAACTCGACAAAATAATAAAAGTGATATATAATATAAATAAAAGATTTCGAAATTTCCATACTTGAAAAATAATGCCTAGCTGTGTGTTCTTTTTTGCAATTGTAAAATATGACGTAAAATATCACGTGTATCCGCTTGTTATCCTATACTCATACAGTCGTGCCGTTCTGCTCTATACAGCTCGTAGTACCTACTCTAAAACTATAATGGAAGTCCTTTCGCATCTGACGTGTTCTTACGCGATTAAGTCCGAACCCGACTTCTCAAGGAGACGTGAAGTGTGAGATTCGTAGTTGGCTCTTTGGGTACACGACGGGAAACCTGGAGGTGAACGCCATCGTTGATTCCTTCTTGTGTCTAGTTAATGGAACTAAGAAGCTCGTAAACGTATTAACTGCTGTAAAGGACATCGGCTTTGATCCGCCTGTGACGAGTGCCTATCTTCGTCTTTGCTCTTTGAAAAGTGGTATGTGTAATTCGCTATTTTAAGTGCAAAAATAAAGCTGCTCTCTAATGTAAAATCATTAAAAATTACTAAATAGCATGTACATAGGAATTATTATTTAAACAAATATAAAGTTTTTTGATAATCGAAATATAAAAAGATACTAAATGAAGACGTTTCTATATGTATTTTAATTTAAATTGTGATACATATTTCTAAAACATTGGCTGCGTATATCAGCATTTGAGTATTTCTTTTATTATCGGTTTTTGTTTTCGAACGAGAAAAGGAAACATTTGAGACGTGTCTAGTGATGATATTTCGATCGATATCTTTTCTTTTCATACATGTATAAGCTAACCATAATATGAAGAAAATACGAATAATCCCGCAAGCATAACTGATCCGTATAGTCATTTGGGTTTAGCGAACCCACCTGAGCTCATCATACTGCGGACACTCGCAATAGATACATCACATATCCTTTCATATACAGGCAAATTTCTAAATAATAATGCAGCGAATAGTTACAAAAGGGATAGATTAATCTAAAAAAAAGAATAAAAATAGGTTGAGACATAGATGTATAAATTTTTTAAAATAATTTTATTAAATTTGTTATAATTAACCTTTACGATATCAAACACAAAATATATCAGTCTGGACATCTTGAATTCATCCATTTTTTTTTACATATTTAAAATGATTTTTAAAAATTCTTAAAAATTCGCAAACATATTTTA